AGATTTCTATCTGATTCTGAAATGGCTGAGAAGAGTAAAATAATAATATATTAAAGGCCTAATTAAGTAATATCTCATCTATTTTCTCCCTTCTTCCATCACTTTTACTCCACTTCTTAGTTAAGATTTCATAACTCAACACAGTTATTAGAATTAGATTCTTATACATGTGACTGTGGTATCAATATAGCTTGGCCTCTTCAGAGGTTGTGGGTTGCAGAAGTCAATCTTTGCTAGGGCGGAATTTCAGTTCCCCTGGCAGAGATTGTATATAATTTTGAAGACAGCAATTCCAGAATTTGGAACAACTTACCTTTGAAAATAAAAGTAGAATGTGTACTGTGAAACCCATTATTCTGAATTTGTTTCTGTGTTAGATCACAGCCTTTCGTTTTTTTGGCTTTTTGCAGTAATGCCAATAATAAAAATAGTTTCATTTTAGTGCCAGAACACACAAAAAATTTTATATACAATATATTACCTTGGATGTTTAATTCTTTTGGATTATTATAAACTGCCAGGAGTCCCTGACAGATTTGGCAATATACATATATAATTAATAAATTGATAAATAATAGTGTACCCTAGCAAATTCAGTGGGATTAACATCTAAGTAAACATGAATCTATTGTAAGTCATATATATAGATAATTTGTTAAAATTTCAGGACAGTTATACCACATATTTTTTATTTGAATTCATGAGTGAAATCTTAAATGATATGTCAAATAGCAGATATATTGGCAATGTATGTATATGGGGTAAGAAAGAATTTGTACTTTTTAATAACCCACCACTGTCTGAATTCACACAACACACTATACCAAAACCAAACAAATCATGCTACAACTTAGCACAAAGTGTGATTCAACCATTGTGTTCAGCTGGATTTACAAATCAAACTGGTACCATTCCATACTAAGGACTGGGAAGATTAATAAACAAAACCCTTCCTTTGTTTTTTAGCTCTCTGCAAACAAAGAAAATACTTCTTGTTGTTTCAATGGCATTAATTCCTATAGGAAAAATGCCCAAGGCAAGCCAAGCCTGATGTTGTATGTACAAGCTGGATCTGTACTCATATCCAAAAGTGCTACATGGCCCATCATTAACAAGATAGTACTTGAACATACAGTATGTGCCAACAATATTTCAAGCTAGTGTGCCAATCCCTGGGCTACAAGATGCCAATCAGCTAGCTTGTTTACAGAAACTCAGCAATTACTAGCTTGATTGTTGGTAGTCGTAGATGACTGGAACATTTCATCAAGACCTGAAACCTGAAGCTGTACAAGTTCAGTTACAAATAAATCTTGGGTAGACATCTGTGCCTACTGAGTCATGCGAAGGAAGCAAATCCATCCTTTGCAATCCTGATAGTCCCAGTGACTTTTTAAAAACTTATTTTAGAACAGAAATAGGATGATTACTCTTGCATGGCTTTTCCAACTTTAGCATATCTCAAAGTTCTGCCATGTAATTTAAATGGAAAAACAAACATCTTTACAAAACTCAAGGCCGTTTAACAGTAATGGCATAACTAATCTCTGTTATGGCTTCCTAAATATGCACTTTTGCCTAAATAATACTTAGGAATATAATGCATCCAAAGGTTCAAAATGCTTTAAATATACTGAAGGGTTTTTTTGAGCTTCAGGAATGCAAGATTAAGGCATTTGCTGAAAAAGAATCTCAATTAACTGTGCTGAAGATATAATCTAGCTATGTCAGCAGCTAAGTCTGAAAGAAGAAAACATGTTTAGTTTTATTGCAGCGCCACAATTACTTGAATATATAGGAGGACATACTTGATGGTTATACTTTAGAGTGGGCAGTGAGCAATAAGTAATTGAAATAAGCATACAGCTTCAGAATGTGAAAACTCTCAAGGAAAACCAGGTAAAACACAGGAGATCCATGATGGCTTATCAGCCACAGGGAAAGGGAGAGCCCTCTAGATTTCATCAAAGCAACAGCATGCAGAGAAGAGAGTTGAAATCTTTTGCCTCTCAGTAATTTTCCAGTCTAAATCTTCTTCCATACAGTTGCTAATACTACCCCAATCTTCTCCAACTGAATATTTTTCAGAGATGTTGGATTATTGCATTATCATCAGTGTACATGATGGCTAGAGGTAATGGAGGTTGCTATCAGCAGGACAAGTTGGGGAAGATTGTCCTGTACATGCAAACAGAAGTTATGGATTCTTATACTGAATGATCAATTCCCATTTACCATAGGAACAAGGTTTTTTTCTCCAGTACGTACTGGATACTAAACGATACATGAGGTTATGCCAATTTTTCCTGGGGAACACTGAGTTCTGTTCTGCTCTTCATCTGTCTGTGTTTGAACAGCAACATTCAGACCTTGAGAACTTCGTCACAAGCATAGCTGGTAGTAGTGAGCAAACCTAACTTGGCTCCAAACCTTCTTATAAAACAATTGCTTTCATATTTATGTGTTTACCAAGGGATCTCTGCAGAACTGCTGCAGAATGTTTGCATGCTGAATTCTCAATTTCAGGGATACCATGAGGGATACTTATGGCCTGTTTGGCTTAAAGTATTGCTTGCTCCATGCCTGAATATAAGCCTGGAGTACAGAAGTAATTTTGGGATTTTCTGCACTGCAGCTTTAAGCTGCTTCCCTCCCATGATGGAAAGTTATCTGGCTTCAAAAATCCCTTTCCAGATTTCCACCCCTTGCTCTGTTTTGGCCATGTCAATAGCCTGGTGTTCTGTCTGGGCCACACTTATCACAGTCCCAAACTGATGGATTCTCCTGCTTCTCTACCCCTCCCATCCATGATGGGAAAGCAAGCACCACTTATTATTCTTTCCATGGGCAGACATCGGAGAACATGTATTTTCTATTGAAATGCCTTGTATGAGTGTCCCTTGATTGACTTCCCTGTATACCTGACACCTCTTCAACGAGTACGTCCATCAATGGACAGTAAAAAGACAAAGGGGAAAGGAAAAGTACATCACCCTTTTACCATTCTTCCCTTGGGTTATAAAGGGAAACTTAAAACTTTTGTCAGTTTCATCTGGTTTAAAAAAAAAAAAAGCAGCCTTTCACTGTTCTGCTGGTGAACTTGAAAAATAAGATAAAACAAAATGATAGCATTTCACTAGTCCATCAGTGAAACAAACAAAAAAAGATTTACCAGCCAAGGCCCCTTCAGAAGGGGAGAAGCAGCCTGGCAGCCCAGCACAAAATGGCTGTGGAGAGCAGGGACCAGAAGGGAAGAGGCATTCCTGCCAGAAGCGGAAGTGTTTGCCTACAATGAAATGGAAAGCAAGCCACCAACTGGACAGCACTGCTTGGGCCAGGGCAAGCAGGAAAACATTTCTGGAGGGCCTTGAGAGGCAAGAGGAAAAGCTGTCAGATAAAAGAAACCTGAGCCCAGGGCAGAAATGTAACACATGTAAACATCTCAGACAAGCCCCTCCCTAGTTCACACAAAGATAAAGGGAGGAAGAGAGGGGGAAGGTGCATTCAGACTCGCAAGATTCTGTTAATATAACTTTACAATAAAAGTAATATTAGCCTACATGACTTTTTATTGGTCTGGGATCAAGCAGAGGACAATGTTGTGAATTCCTGCCCTCAAGAAATAGTTTATATCCTATATTCATGCAAGGACAATCTGGTTGTGCAGTCCAGCCTGATGACAATGCATACTTTTGCAGGGACCTAACTTTAGTTATTTTCCATATTCCCAGACACTGAAGCAGTATACAAAATAGTTTACAGGTTAATCATGTACATCAACTACCAACTGCAAAATGAAGCAGCATGCAAGCCTATCTAGTTTTCTTATTGGCCAGCAAATTGGGAAAAAATGGCTAGTTTCCCACTGCCAATAATGACAGGAAGCTAAGCAAACAAGTCACCAATCAGCTGATCATTTGATTAGCAGAGACCAAGTCACTAGTTTCCTACTGTCAATCACAATGGAAAATGACAGAATTTATTCACCGGAAGAGAAAGCCCCATTCCTTCTCCTTTCCTCCCAGTGACTCTGCTCATGATGACTGGGAGAGACAAGGAGGAAGGAGGATATGTTTTGTGTCATCTTATTAGTTATAACTCCCCATTTGTCTAACCTTACCCAACTGGGGGATCCAGATGAGGGCCTTTAATGCATATCTTAAATTTCAAAAGAATTCACATGGGACCAAAAAGAAATAATACTTTAAGACAGTAAAAATATTATATATTTTTGGGATGTACTTGTGGAAACTTATCTATACAGAGCACAAGAACAAGAAGATTCTTTGCCAGGCTGAAAGCTGAACCAGGTTATTTATGGTTCAACCATGGTATAGCCAGAACTGGTCTGAAGCTAGGCTTCTTTGTTTTGAGACTCTCTGGCTCCATTTCCACATTGGAGAAACTCCTCTCTCTCCGCTAGTTGAGAATATATAACTTATAATCAAAGGACAAGGAGGGAAACAACAGTCCATAGCACATCTTCCCTAGCAGCCAACACCCAGATAAGAAGGAATAAGACCGGATAAACAGCTGAAAGAAATGATACCCTAATCAATAACCATCAAAGAATCTATATCCCAACCAAGATGAACAGAGCAAACTACTACAGAGTATATATAAACAAGCAGCAAAATTCACTCTCTCCTGCACTGATGTTACCTAGCCTGGTAATGAAACATCTTCAGGAAAACAACCAAGCTCAGAAAACTCCAAGAACTCAACAAATCTTGTCTCCCTCCTCCT